GGAACGGTAAGCTGTAGCGGCTGCTGTTCTAAACTCGGCACGGCGGGCGACGATGTCTGCTGCCCATGCGGCTGCGCTGTTGCGGGGCGGACGGCGCGTCTGGCGGCCTCGAAAGTTGAGGCGCCGCTGAGGCAGGAGGTGAGTGGTGATCTGGAGTCGCTTCTCGTGCAGGCGGCGCGCGAGCGGGAGGAGCTGCTACAAGAACAGCTTGGCGCCGCCCGGCGTGGTGAATGCAGCGAGAGTGACGACGGTGACGAGCGGAGGAAGAAGGAGCCGAAGAAAAATGTTAAGGCGAATAATCGCTCTAACTTCACACATTTCCGAAACAAGAATTTTGCTCCGCGACTGCCGTCGCATGGTGGGACACTTGACAGTGGCAACGGAGACAAGGACCGTCAGAGCAACGATGAGGACGAATACGAGACACATGAGGAACTGACGCAACAAACAGGACGACGCAAGAATAAGAGAAAAGGCGCCAGACGGAAAGATGATGAGGCCACTGCCACCCAACCAGCAGGCACGCCTTAATTAGGGCGGCTGACGTGCAAGAGTCATATATATATATGTATATATATATATATATATATTTGTCTCTGTATTTTTTTTTTTAAAGGGGGAAAAAAAGACTGCCTGAACGTATATGTGTGCAGAGTGAAAACGGTATGTCTACACTTTTACATGCTCTCCTTTCTTGTGTTGTGTTCCTCTTCTGTTTTACTTGTTATTCCTCTACCCGTCTCAGGGAAGGTAGCTGTCCGCAAGATTGACTCAAGGAGCGTGATAGATGGGGGAGGAAGCCGGAGCAGCAGCAGTGGGGCCGACCAAGACTCCGGGCTGCAAGATCTGCTGCGCGTGCCCAGCAGANGCAGCAGCAGTGGGGCCGACCAAGACTCCGGGCTGCAAGATCTGCTGCGCGTGCCCAGCAGAGCGGCGGGCTCGTGACGAGTGTACCGTCTTCAAGGGTGTTGACGCCTGCCAGCGCGAGGTAGAGGCATTCTATACATGCCTGCTACGCGAGGGCTTTAAAGAGGAAGAGGTGAACAGCCTGCGCAAAAGCGCAAGGAGCTTCTAGGGTGGGGGTTCGGGTTGTTGTTGTTGTTGTGTGAATACTGATGGTGCTGGGAGAAGGGGATAGTTGAGTGGCTCCCGCTGCCCTACCTGCACGTGTGAACGACATATCACGTATAGTAAGCTCACATTGATTTGTTGAGTATTGTTGTGTATTTTTTTCTCTGTGTGTGTTCGCTATGGGACACTAAAAATTGTCTATGTGTCTGTTCTATGTGGTTTTTCCCCCTTTTTTTTTGTTATTATTGTTTGTATACAATACGCTTTCTTTCTTGTGGCATTTCCTCTTTCGCAGAGTTCCGTGTGCTTACGGTGGTTAGGCTCCCATCCCAGTCGTTTCGGCTGCGTGCTTGTGTGGTATTGATGGGCTCCCCGCTGCGCGCCGAGAGTCCCTCCTTTCGGAGCGGCGAACTCCTGGGGCCAGCAGCGGCAGCAGCAACAACAGTGCTGGGTTCAGCCACGGAGGGGCTCGGCGACACCGCGGCGCGGAGTGGAAGGAAGCGGCACAACGTGGTGGTGTTCCCGTACTTTCGTGACCGTCTCGCCTGCGACCCGCAGAATTTCTTTTGCGTGCACGCCGACTACGAGTTCAAGTGGTGTGACACCGCAAAGGAGGCGGAACGCGGCGTGTGTGTACTTATTGACGCGATGGTGGCCGCTGTCCGCCGCGCATTTAAAGATGCGCTCGAATACTGGCAGAAGCTTCCTGCCTCATTGCAAAGGGCGCACGCCCTGCGCGCTGTCACGGCGTTGCCGCTGACGCCGCTGAGTAATACGCTTCTGCACGCACAGGCGAGCACATACATGGAGGGCGGAGGTCGACAGACCATGCGCAAGAGTATTGATGCGTTCTCGCCCCTTACTAGCAGCGGGAGTCCACGCGCCAGACGCAGCAGTAGTGGCAGTGGTGGGCGCAACACACACGCGACGGCGTCGCTGGGACGTGCCGCTGGCTCTCGTGAGCAGCGGGAAGAGGATGCAGTCTTTGCTAACCTTTTGCAGCAGTGGGAGCCGGCATATAACAAGCCAAGGTGTCGCATTGTGCTGGACATCATTGCCTCGCGTAAAACGCTCGGTGACGACCCACCCCACAGTGAACCATATCAACTGGGCCAGAAGGCGTTTCGATTCGCGCAGACAAAGTATGCCGCTGAGGTGGCTGCAATGTTCGTGGGTATCAGTGACAGCAGCGTCACACTCGTCGGCAGGGACATCCTTTACCCGTACCGCGTGACTGGCGGTGGGCCCAAAACACCTGGCGGTAACCGCGCCACCGTACGACTAACTGGAGGAGGTGCTGCAGCAGCAGCTGCGGCACTCGCCTCCTCCGACACTTTGAATTCTGCCATAACAGGCAGTACAGCAGCGCTGCTGTCAAGTCTCGAGCAGGTTCTGGCGAGCACGATCCCCCTACCGCGGGTGGTGGCGTTACCGCCTGCAAACACAGACAAGGTAGACAACGTGAGGCTTCTCGTGTGTTTCCCTTCTTGCGACGCCGTGAAGGACGCGGTTTGACACAACTGAGAATGAAGATCATTGCTGTGGTGTCTGGCGATGCTGCTGCCGCCCTCTTCCTTTGCATGCATGTACACACAAACCGTTTTATTGACCGATGTCATGTTGTACTCCGTGCAGGTGCGTGTCAAACCTTAGCGTGTGGTGCCCTAAAAGCGCACTGCGTTACTCACCCTACGTCTTTTTTGATACTCACTTCTTTGAAGGGAAGACTAAGACCAGAGCAGGCATGCGCACCGTCGGCTCCTCGCGCGTTGGCAGGTCTATTTTTCTTCTTTCGTCGACGGCGCCTCTGCGTGGTGCTGTGCGGCATGTCTCGCTCTCCGAATTGGCGAAGGCTTTCACGGAGATAGGTGAGGGCGGTACGGCATCAGATGGGGCTGAGGGGAGCCGACGCCACACGGCGTCCAGCGCAAAAGGGGCCTTTTCGCCCCAAAAATATCCTAGCTCCACCATTATGAGTGGGACGAATGATACAGGGCTGGGTAGCAGTGGTACTGCTAATAATACTACTTCCACTTCTGCTGCTGCTTCTACTACCAATATCAGTGCTGCTAGAAGCATTGATATTGACTCCAGCAGCATCGGCAACAGCGTCGTGACCTTCTCTCCCGCGTATAGTGAGTTTCTTCGGGGTATGTCGGGGCCACAGTTTACCACATTGTTCGAGCGGGAGTACAAACGGTTCCACCAGGGTCACATGTTGCAGTGCCTTGTTGAGGTTTGGCGTCGACTGCGTGAGGCACCGCCGGTGGAAGTCCTCATCACTGAGGACGAGGCCCACGGCAAGGGAATCGGCAGCCGTGATTATGGTACTGCTGCCGACGGTGTGTGTGGGTTGCAGGCCTTCCGCAGTGACGCCCTGCTGGAGTGTGTTCTGCGCGCATTGGCAAAGACGAACTTGGACGAGGTTCAGCAGAGCTCGAGTGTGGTAGTGGACCTCCGCGCTGGTAGTATCGTAGACGGAACGGATTGGGTAGCAGAACTAAGCTACCTACTCCTCCAGTGGCTTACTACACGTGCTTCTTCACTGAGTGCTACACGTAGTGCAACATTCATCCACCTCATTGCACAGCAGAAGGTGCTCCATTCCGACGCCGTCTTGGACACGCTGCGTGACAATATCGAAGTCTATCTCGCCGACTACCCAAAACAGCACACAGCCTCCTCTTATTCTACTTCAGCTGATATTGGTGGTGGTAGTGGTGCCAAAGTTTTCGATGTGAGTGTGATGAGTGTGCTGCTAGACGCCATTGCGCGGTGGCAGATGGGGTTAGTGCGGCTTCTCAATACCGATGTCGCGGCAACACGCCACTCGCGAGCGTACAGCACAGCTCTTGTGGCTGTGGGGTGCAATAATCACCCCATTCTCAATGCAACCTTTTACGATGTGGTTGTTAGCTCACTCATGCGCGGTGTCCGTGACGGCTCACTCCATCTCACACGACAGGGCTCGCCGACAACGTTCTTCTTCCTCACACTCGCACTGGCGAAGATACGCTGGTTCCGCGCCGATTGTGTGGAAGTGCTGCTGCCGCAGCTGCACGAGGCGCTTCGAGTGTTTCCTGCACAATTCCTCGGTGTTGTGCTGCTGCTCGGTCGGCGCGAGGTGCATGCGTGTAACCTGCAAACGACCGACTTGTTGCTGCAAACGTTGCTTGACGCTATGCAGAAAAGGGGCCGGCGCGACGTTGCAGCGGACGGTAGCCGGCGCCACCGCATCTGCGGTGCAGCTCTCGTAGTGTCCTCTGCTGCTACAGCTCCAGATGCATTGACAGCGGCCACGGCGAACGCCGCTCAAGGCGACATTGCTGATGGGGATGATGAGGATGACGACCTGCAGCTGTTCTCTGCGCCGTCTACTGCTGATTTGGGCCATGGGGATGCTGCTACGCGCTCGGGGAGCAGTGCAGTGGGAGGTATCTTGCCACAGCAACCGATGGAATTTGCAACGAGTTTTCTTGACCTCCGCTCGATGCCTCTCTTTCTCGATAGTCTTCACCACATATTGGCCACGGCTCATGCGTGCTGTGAGGCGCAGGGCAACATGGCGCAGCGGCGTGCTATAGATGCCAAAGCCGAAGCACTTTATGAGGCGCTGCTGAATGATGCGCATGGGGGGCTGAGGTCGATGAATATGCTGTTCGAGTGCCCTGGGCTGGTGGAGAAGCTTCTCTTGTCCCTGCTGTCCATGCCACACAAAGCACCACACCCGCTTCTTGTTGAGCTCACGTACGCCTTTACGCGTCAAGTTGGCATGCGACGTATTACGAGACACGACGGTGGTGAAGTAACGACCGCTTTTCCGGTTTGGCAGCGGCGCGTGATGGAAATCGTCGATCTTTTGATACAACGTGGACTTCTTACGTCGGACACGTATGTGATGAAGGATGATGTCATCTCCGCGGCCCCACGCGTTGCAGCGGCGGTGGCGGTAGAGAAGAAACGACTGTTGGAGCATTACCGAAAGAGGCAGCAGCAGCAGGAGGTGAAGACAAGCGGAAAGAAAACAGTGCGAACAAGGGCGGTTTTTGCAGGGTTTGCGCGTGTTGTTGGTCATATAAGGGAGAAGCAGCAGCAGTACCTTGAGGCAAGGCACTGCCACACATCACAGAGAGCTATATTCAAGGTGGGAAGAAGTGAATTGGGGGAGGGGGAAGATAAAGAATTAGTGCTGCCCAGAGTTTTGAGATGAATGAAGACCCTGGAATGCATTTTTGTGGTTTATGGCAAGGGTGTATCGGTGCTAACTTACCACCACGGCGCTTGCCTCTGTTTCACACACACACACTCTCTCTCTCTCTCTCTCGTTGAATGCATATATCCCCGTATATCTGTTTTAGTGTTCAGCGCGGAAAGCCGTTGTAAGGGTGCACCCCACACACCAGCACCACCACCACTACAATTCCATGAGCACGGCTGCCGGCACGGAGAGGGTGCGACAGTACTTCCTTTCTTGTGGCGCCGACCACCTCATCTCGAGAATGCGTGAGTTCCCTGCGAGCAGTGCGACCGTTGAGCTCGCCGCGCAGCAGCTCAACTGCACCCCCTCCATGATCGCCAAGAGCATCAGCTTCACGCTCCTCAAGAAGAAGGAGGGTGTGAACTATCAGCCACTCCTCATTATTGCCTCGGGTGACGCGAAGATCGACGCGAAGAAATACCGCGCGAAGTTTGAGCGCCGGCCGGAGATGATTAAACGCGAGGATGTCGACGCGGCGATCGGCTTCGCAGCCGGCGGCGTCTGCCCCTTTGGCGTGAATGACGGCGTGCGTGTGTACCTTGACGTTTCGCTGCGCCGCTTTCCGATGGTGTACCCGGCAGCGGGAGCGGCGAACAGCGTAGTTCTGATGAGTATTGAAGAGCTGGAGCAGTACTCACACTTCGTTGAGTGGATTGACGTCTGCGACGGGTGGACGCGCGACGAGACGGCAAACGGTGAGACGGAGGCGTCACCGCAGCAGGAGCAACAACAATGAGGTATGAGTAGGGAAAATAAATGCAGAGGAAGGGAATAAGAAGGTAAAGAGGGTTATATACATATATATATATATATATATATATATATTCTACTTTTTTATGGCTGTTTTCTATCTTTGTTTCTGCGTGTGTGTGTGCGTGTGTGTGTGTGTGAGAAAGAGATCTATCGCTTGTGACAACTCCATTCTGTTATCGCATTCTTTGTTCAACATTACTTTTGCTATTGTTTTAGGCGATTCATTTATATTTCCATGAGTGTGTGACATGCACCAAATTAGACAGAATCTGCCACTGATTCTGTTGTGTTGTAATGTGAGGTGAACATACCTGATATGGACGTGGGATCTACGTCAGTCTCTTTCTCGCTCTCTGCCTACTCAGCATTGAGCACCCACAATTATCGTTGTTCCCTTGTTTCTCTCTGACCCAGTTTGTGAGAGCGCGCAATAGAAAAAAATTCCGAGAAAAAAAACAGTAGAACTCTAGTTGTCGACTGTGTGGTGAATCGTCACGGTGCACACTGGCGCCCAACAAGGAGTAAGTAAGGTCTCGGGTTATAGCAAGCAGCTGGCAAACGTGTGGAACAAAAGAAATAAGAAAAAAAAAAACAACAGCAATAAAAGGAACTGAAGCAGCTCAGACACTGCATGAGCTTATCACGCGCAGGTAGTGTGGGCTTAACGAAAATAGTTCTCTGAAGCTGCTGACCTTTGCACTGTCCATATATTTCGTTGCCCCCCCCCTGGCAACCTAGCACCCGCGACTGGTGATGCCATCCCTCTCGACGTCGTACAATCAGCGCCTTCAGCGCCTCTTCATGCACTTCAAGAAGAACACCAACAGCCTATTGGAGGGATGCTGCGCCTTAATTGAGCTCATCGATGAGGATGACCTGACGAACTGGTATGTGCTGCTGCGCTATGAGGATGAGAATAAAGCTGAGTTCTTCGTCTCGCTTCGCGTCTTCTTTCTTGAAGAGCTGCAGCGCATGCCACTGGTATTTGTGATCGCTCCTCGACTTGTCGCCACCTTTATTCACCACGGAGCAATCTGCTCATTAGAGCTCATGTCGCAGCACTGGTCTGTGGATGTGGATGGATTGACGCTTCTTTTCCGCTCCCTGCACGCGACACTGAACCCCTTTGGTCACGACAGTAAAGTCACAGTGGACGAACTCAACAGTAACCGAAACAATGGCAATCCACCACATCGTTCACTTGTGAACGATGCGTCGGACAACCCTGCAGCAGGTGTGGCCACCGTATCGGCCTATACACGTGATGAACACGATTTGGGCATCCGTCACATTAGGCAGTCACACCCACACCTCTTCCGCGGCTATACTGTGAAGAAAGACAAATGTCAGGAGCATCAGGAGTTGGATGTGCCGCCAACAGTAGTGACGGATGGTAGCGAATCCTCCGTTGCCTTCTTCACAAGTATGTGTATGGACAAGGAAGCGTCTAAAAAGGCAGGAGAGCAGAAGGTAGTTGTGCACTCTCGCGAAGAGTTACAGCGTCTTTTCGTTAGCGGTGGGGAAATGGAGGTGCAGTTGGACATTCAATATGCTCTTTCCTCACCGCCTACCACCTTTGTGGATGTCGATGACAATATAGTGAAGTGCACACTCCCGTCTGCCGGTGACGGTACCTCACTGTACGCCATTTCGCTTGGGCCCTACAAAGCGGCAGACGACAGCGAGGCAAAGACGGCACAAGAAGTCAAGAACAGTACAACAAATATAGAGCAGTCGTCGAGAACAGAAAAAGAAGAAACTCTCAACAATACTAAGGGAGCGGTGCTTAGTGTGGCCAGCGAAGCTGGTAGGGACGCAAGTGACAACGAGACGACGTCCATCCAGTCGCCATCCGCACCACTTTTCAGCTCTTCTAAAGCATACCGCGATCACGGGCCGAAAAAGAGGATGGCGGGGCTCATCTCTGGCCACCACTTCAGCGGTGGAAAAAGCAGAGATGGCGCTGTTTCTGCTGCTCCAACCATCGCCGTGGTACTGACAGGGGAACAGACGGATTGCGAAGCTCAGTGCAGTGACCTTTTGCCCAACACACGGGATTGCCGTACGCCAGACGTGCCTTGTGAGATTCCTGCTGGTTGCACGCTGCGGATGCAGAACCTCACGGTGTACGGGGCCCTCACGGTGTTCGGCACCCTAGAGATGCGAGATTGCACCTTCATTGGTCACTTCTCTACTGAGGGGTCGGGGCGTGTGCAGCTCTTACACTGCGATGTGTACGTGGACGTGCCTGAGACGCGCCGAGAGGGAATCCTCGTTCTCGACGACTCCATTGTGGAGCTGCGCGACAACACCACGCTCCAGAGGAAGGAGTACACGTTCACTGATGAGCAGGCATCTCTTTCAGTTGACACCACGGCGCCGTTTCTTTTGCAGGCGTTTGTCCTTGTGTCAAACAGCGGCTCCTTGCGTATACAAGGTGACTGCCACATCTACCCCTACGGCACCGAGAAAACCATCTTTGCAGAGCAAGACGCATCGGTTGACATTGCTGACTCTACAATCATGGCGGGTTTCAGCAGCGCTGTTAGTATACTTGGATGTCGCGCTTTCTTGTTTAACACACGTTTATACGGTGGTGATCGCATTGACTTGCAGGTGTCCGACATTAATCGCCCCACAGGACTGAATGTGGAGCTGGGAGGCATAGTCACAGCCCGCCATTGCCAAGCAGAGCACCTATACTTTGGTTTCTCAGTTATTGCACACTCTGTGGCTCACTTCTACGCTTGCCACGCTGACCACGTGGTGAATGGATACACGATTGACGCTTCTTCTGTTACTATAGCGAATAGCTCCGCACGGACAAACCATGTGGGTGTATTTGCGTTAAACAAAGCCAAGTGCAAGATCAGCAACGACACGGAACACATTCCTAGCTTCGAGGAGCGATGCCGCCTGCTGTTAAAGTTGCGGAGACGTGCTCCAAGAAGACGATTACTGGCACAAACTACTATGGTCAAGCATGACATTAACCTCTCTCCTCCCATTTGCAGCGGCCCTATGGCTACACAGGAACCGGCAGCTGCTGTATTGGATTTCAGGGAAGATAAAGAAATGGGAAAAGAGAGTGTTGACCCCACTACCGCAGCAGAAATAGCCACGGTTTTTATTGAAAAACTTGTAGAAGACTTTGAGTTCTCAACAACACGAATAGAATCGCCATCCCGTTCAGTATCCACACCAGCACCAGCGCCGCCAGTGCCAGGGACAAGAATAACACAAACAACAAGAACAACAACAACAACAACAGCATCACCACTACCACCAGCGTCTGCAATATTGCCTCTTTCCTTTACTGGAGGCCTTTTCAGCCTCGAGGTACGTGATGCTACTATGATAGCCGAAGGCATGGTACTTTCAGACGCACAAGACACATCTATTTACGTCTACGATCAAGGATCTTTAACATTAACGGACTCCGTCGTGTGGACGACGTTGACGTCGACCCTGCAGCCATGTGGGCTGAAAGTTGTAAATGGCTTTGCACATGTGCACAATTGCCTCATTGCAGACTATGCATTTGGGTTTGCGGCGATACAGAGCTCTGTGGTCCGTCTTGAGGAGTGCATGGCCATCGGCGGAACGAATGGCTTCACTCTTGATGACGCACACTGCACGTTGCACCACTGCGGTGCAGACACTGACCACGTTGGCGTCTTCTCTCTCAATCAATCAACATTGCGCATGGACAATACAACGGCACCAAAGTATATAACGGGCGGACTCCCGTGTGTGCTGAAAGGTCGCGTACACGGATTGGAAAGCCGCTCTGGGGATACCGTCTGTGTGGGGGTGATAGTTCAACGTGGTCTGGACAGTGGGTTCACGTGCTACAATGGGGGATGCCTCCGGCTGGAGAAGTGTATAGTAGACATGGGCGTTGCCGCATGTGTGGATTCTGTCAGCGCTGAGGCACCATACCGAGCTCCTCAATCTTCCTGTGCAATCGGCTTCTCGAGCTCTGCCTCAGCGTCAGGAGCAGCGGTAGCTGTTGCTGCTGCTGCTCCTCCTCCGGGAAATGCGGAAGCTACAGGAAGTGGCGGCACTACCACTAGCGGTGGTGGTGGAGCTGTAAAGGCGGGAAACAATACCCCGTCTGGGGTATCACATGATGGGCGTCCTCCATCGTTGCCTTCGTATAGCACCCAAAAAAATTCCGGTGTAAAGGCATGGTCTGGGAGCCACTGCGTTGTAGTTGGTTGCGAAGTGCGGCATGTCACATTTGGATACGCCGCAATTGGGCCCGAAACAGAGTTGGAGGCCTCTCACTGCACAGCAAAGCATATTGTTAATGGTTTCACAGTGGACAGTGCCAAATGCCGGTTGTCACGTTGCAGCACTAACAGTAATCATGTGGGTGTGTTTGTACTAAACCACGGTACATGTGCTGTACGCCGCGGAAGCTACACAGCTCGAATGTACAGCATTGAGAACCGCAATGGTATCATACATGTGGAGGGCCACGTGAAGCTAAGCGGTTTTTCCCGCATCGGTCTATATGTCTACGACGGCGCGAGGCTGGACACCCTGGTAGACAGTATGCTGGACATTAAAGTTCGCAAAGACCCCGCTCAGCAGCACTTACCACCACAATTAACTCTCACTGGTGCCTCTGCCGCTCCGTCTGGGCTTTTTCCCTCATGCTTTGCAATGGATAAGGGTACTGCTGTCATTCACAACGCCTGCTTTGGAGGAGGTGCACAATGTGCCGTGAGCTGTGGTGATGGTGCCAATGTGTACCTGCACCAATGTACAGCTGAATTCTGTAACGTAGCCTTTAACGCACTCACTGGATCGCAGATGTATTTGTCGGATTGCCGTGCGCTCAATGTGCGTCAGCACGCGCTCATTGTCCACCGTGGTGCTCTTTCACGTGTGACTTCGCAGGCCCCTGTCTCCTCGGCAGGCTCCGTACTCCAGGGACGGCTGCAGATTGATGGAAAGTGCTTTCTTGAGCACGTCGCCGTGCGTCCTATGCCAGTGGGAGATAAAGAAACGTTTCCTTTGCCACCTTTGCCACCAGGGGTAACACCCCCTTCGGCGCCGTTTTCGCGTTCATCTCCATTCAATGCAACACTGCCAATGCCAAATGGCCTTATTCGTGTAGCAGGGTGTGGTTCACTTCTGATGGATTGGTGCCTCATTCTCCTCGAGGAGCGGCAGCGCATGACTCTGCAGAACGACGGGATGGACGAGACTCCGACGCAGACAGTGATTATTGTGGAGGGCCGAAGGGCTACAGTTCAATTGCGAAATGCACTATTTAAGCAGGTTTTCTTGTCTGCACACTATAAAGAAAGGAGCGCCCACGCTTCTATCAGTTCGTATAATAGCGCCTTGGTGGCGGATATTTCCTCTGACCTATATGGCTCCTCTACCGAGGCGACGTGGTATGGCCTGGCGTTGCTACATGGTGCCAAAGGTGAGATACGTGACCTCCCTGATCCCACACTTCTAGGCAGCAGTGCTTCCTCGCTTTGCACGGCAGCGGCAACAAGTGAACACTTGGCTGAGGCGCCCCCATTGGAAAACCATCGTCCACTTGTGTCGTGTGTGGGTAGCGGAGCTGACGCAATGGCAAACAGTGGTATTACTGTGGACAGAAGTGTTCCCATGTGTAACGCGAACGAAATTGACATTTTTTCTAGTGGTGATATTGTGCCTTTGCGCGTGCATGTTGCAAGTTCGTCCACACTGATTATGGAGAATGCCCATCTACGGAAGCTTGTTGCTTCGGGTGGCTCAAGCATCGATGCTTCGCACTGCTTTTTTGCTGGTCCGGAGGCCGTCCTCCTCAGTGGGAATACCACCTTTCGGGCTTTGGAGAGTGTTTTTGTGGGCTCGATTCGTGGCCCGGCGATGTGTGCAGAGTATGCAACTGTATCACTCACCAAATGCCGCGGATACTGTACACACAGAGAGATTTTGACTGCCAAGTGCGCCACGCTGACATTTGTAGACTCTGTTTTGTCTGATCTTGCTTTTGGAGACATCAATAACGGCGGCAACACCGTCAGCACGGATCTACATCGTTTGCTTTTGGGTGCGCTGGCGGAGGGCGAACGTGGGGTAAGGGCGGCGAATGACCCACGTTGTGGAGACGGCAGTGAAAGCAGTAGCACCGTGGCCGCGTGTGCGGAACGGGGGGATACTATGATGCCACAGACACTAGCACCGACATGCGCGTCTTTGGGGGTTGATACTGCTTGTAAGGGTGCAAGTGCACTGCAGAGCCTCCCACCAGCACCACATGCAAACGCTGATAAAACACAGTGTGATGCCGCCCAGTCAACTTTGATGGACGAGGAGATGGTCAGAAAGAAACGGTTAATAGCCAACATTCGCCTCTTCTCCCTCCATAATGTTTCTTTGGACCCCTCCTTCAACGAGGAGAATGAGACAATAAAGACATTCTGTGGTATTGGTGGGCCGATGACACGGCTGTACTACCCCCCGAAGCCCGATTTTATAACAGTGACTCCAGATGGAGTTCAAGGATCTGGATGCCATCAGAGCGTACGCCTAGAGCATTCACGTTTGTACTTCAACAAAGCAACAATCATTGAAGGTGGTATTGCAGCAGATTCATATAGTCTGGTTGAGGTCTGTCACGTGTCACGCATTTCAGAATTCATTCGAGCGATAAAGGAGGCAGGAGTGCGCCTCGGCATGGCCCTGCTTGGCATGAAACGGCAATAACATCACTGGACGGGGGAGTGATCATGGCTGGGCTAAAAAGTAAAAAGATGCTCTAAAAATAGCCTGTGGACGAAATAGTGAACTTGCCTCATTGGAAGCGAAAATCTGCAAATGACAAGGAAAGGAAAACCGAGCGGAATACGGTTGTCTTTCTTTTTATTTAAATTTATTGGTGCGAGAAACAAAGGAAATTGTACTTGTGCTCTGCCGCGACATCTATTTCACTAAACAACAACAACAACAACAAAAGGAAGACAGAAATAAAGGAAAACAAAAGCAGTGTTGGAATGAGCGATATGTCCCTGATAATGCTGCCAAAGTGGAAAGGGAATGAATTTCGTTGGCTTTTCCTTGGTGTGAGATAATAATAGATTGCTTCTCTCGGTTTCACATTGGTTTTAGTCAGCTGGGATAGTAAAGACAATGCCCTGTGGCGATGTTTCCCCGTCTACCAGAAATCTATAATCATTACGGAGAGGATGAGAGTGGTGGTAGTGGTGCGGATACAAACTTTGGGGAGAAAGAAGGACATGATACTGCTGCTGTGGCGAAGTCAAGGGCTGTTGTCAAGGGCTGTACATGGATTCTTGCTGCTGCAGGCGTTATGTTTGCGGTATCTATGCTGGCTTATTTGGGGTCGACAACAGAGCTCCAAGGACGTAACCGCCCAAGGCCCTTTCCTTCTGAGGTTGATTGGAATGGAATCAAATATAATGAGGTGTCACTGGTTGATTCCAAGGGGAAAAACAGGAACGGTTTGAGTTATTCAGAGTCATATGCGTTACATAGGGTAGAGTGTTGGCAAAGAAGTATACCAATACCGCCACCATCACCTGCAAGGAAAACAGGAGTGGGTACTCTTATTTTTTTCATTCATGGGAACTCAGGGTCATACAAACAGGCTACCCAATTGGCATGTGCTGTGTTGCAGCGGTGTGGCATCAATCCGGAGTTTTACTCGTTAGACTTTGCAGAACAGGCGAACATCCACCGCGGTAGACTTCTCGAGCAGCAGGCAGCGTTTGCCGTAGATGTGGTAAGGTCGTTGCGGCGCAAAAGAGACCGTGATAAGTTACAACAACCAGTGGGCTTCTATGTGAGGGACTCGAAGGTGGTGGCGCAGCAGCAGCAGCATGGCGTTGTTACCAACGTGTGGCTCATTGGACATTCCATGGGGGGTGTGGTGGCACAACTGGCTTCAACAATGATGTCAGGGACATCAAGCTCAGTTAACGGCATCATTACTCTCAATACACCGCACCGGCAGCCACCTATATTTCTGGATGAGCCGATGCTACATGTCTACACAACCCTCTGGAAGAGTTTCAGGAAGAGCGAGGCCTTACAAGGCCAGATGAGGGTGCTGCCTCGTGTCGTGTCTATCACGTCAGGAGCGCTAGATCTGCAAGTGGAGTCACAGCTGACGGACCTTGCACGGGGCTCTAACGCTGCGCGCCAACAGCATTCTGCGACCATACACACAGATGATTCAAAGGTCTGTGGTCAGATGTTTTCACACAACGACGTGGTACGGGATTATTGCGTTGTGGATCTTGTCGCGCGCATCATTGCAAACGAATCCCTTGAATGCCGGAATAACAGTGATACCATGAACTTAGCGACCCTGCCGAGAAGTGGTGTCTTGACTATCTCTTGGTGGGCAGAGCGTAGTGTGATGCGTCACACACTTCCGGTCGCCGTGGTGTCGCTCTACACAGCGGTGATACTCGCCTCCTTTCGCCCGTTAGTCCTTTATCTGTTGGTATCCGCCCGGTGTGCGCCGTTTCACCCCCATCACCATTGTCATTTCCATATTCTTAATTATGAATCTGCAATGCTGTTTAAAGCACGTGCGGTGGGTGTGGTGTTTCTGACTGTCCTCATTGGTGTATCAAGCCAGCTTCTTCTGGTACAGTTTCGGTGCTGCATGCTTCCCCAAAGTGATTGGTGTGCCCTTCCGTGGATCGCTGACGACCTCGTGTGCACACCTACCAATGGATGGAGCCATTTACTGTCGTTGTTTCTGGCAGCTGTTGGCCCAGCGGTGGTTGGGTCGTGGGCAGGCGTGGCAGCCTACCAACTCCTTCGTCTATTATTACTGTTAAGCACGAGTTGGTGGAAGGTGATGTGGTCATTCTACTGCTACTTGGCTGGTCACGGTCGCGTTCGCCGATCCGGTTTGGTTTGCTGGAACTACATTCCAGTAATAGGGTACCTTGCTGCTGTTGTGCTCTGTTGGTTGTTGTCTGTACAGCTGTGTCAGCGTGCACTGGTTTGGTTATGTATAACGTTGCTGCTGCTGCCGATGCGCATGCTTTCTTCCGAGAAGGTGACAGCTGTAGCCCGTAATCGTGCAATCAAGGATGTACGTGCTCTTGTGGCGGCTTACGCATTGTTGCATGTGCTGCATATCCATCCGTTTTTTGTGCTTCGAAACGCGTGGCTCTCTGACACTGACGACAAGGATGCGACAATGATATATGCTTGGAGCCGAGTGGTGGAGATAACACTGCATGCTCTGTTGCTTGCACACGTTGTGTGTCCTGTGCTCCCCCACCACCTCTTTCCGAGGCGGCGTGGCTCACATCATGTGTGGACCACCCTCACACACAGGAACCCGCTGCGAGTTGCCGTTGTGGCCGCATCCCTATTGCTTCTGTGCTCTCTGATGGTGATGGCGAGTGTGCCGGTGGAATCGTTTCGCGTTGCGTGGGTGCTTCTTTTGGGTTTCCCGGCCTGTGTGCTTCTGCATATGGGAATTCCCCATGCAGCTGCTGCTGTTTCTATCTTTGGTGATGCTATGGGTGCCATGTTGTAGGGAATACGGCTTCCAAGTGCGCTTTCAAATTATTACACACAATATACATGCATATACATAACATTCTGTTGCTTTCTAGCACTCTTGCACAGTTACCCACACGGGCATGCGCAAACGTACTCTGACCTCACTAAAAATTATGAGTATGTATCTTCTTTTTCATTAATCTGTTTACGCATTTTGTGGGCTTCCGCCAGTGTCTCGTTCAACCCAGCTATCAAACTAAGGATAATCCCAACAAAAAAAAGTCGGTGGGAGCAAGTGAAGATACTTCGATTTTCTTCAGATTCCCTGTTTAATTGTTACAGGTACACTAAAATTGTATGTCAACCCAGTATTGCGAGCTCATCGCGGTCCTCGGTGCCTTCCTTGGCGATCATGACTTCTATGCACGTATTTCAATGGACAGCGTGAAGGATGTGAAGGCTCTTTTCAACGCAAAGACGATACCTACTGCAGGAGAGGTTGATGCTACCAGTGAAGCAACAACCATTCAAGCAACACGCCGGCGTTATGCGTTAAGACGCGTGTGTAATGCTGTGCTTCGATCGCGGCCGCAGGCGAAAGACGCGGACATCGGCTCCCTAAAGTCTGAAGAAGAAGAACGCGTAGCATGGAAGTTCCTCAATGGCGCCCTTGAGGCGGACAAGGCTGTGATTCGTCCCGTCATTGAGGATGAGCTCCTGCGCACAGCGGTAGACCTTCACTATGCAACTGCAAGACCTGAATTGTGTGACATGTTCGTTCATCTGAGTGCGAGCGAGATGTTTTTCATTGACGGTGACTCGCTCTTTATGGCCGCCTTGTCACCACAATGTGTGGATTGGGATCTGATTCAGCCAATGCATGTCATGTACAATATGCAAAAACTTCTATCCGACATGCAACGCCGTGGCGCACACTTTCACGTTGTCTTCTTTGACAATGCACTTTGGATGTGGGAAAAATCGCCGGTGAAATTGTTTATGCGAGAGAATGTCCGGCAAGCACTCTTGTCTCTCAGTGAGAACAATACGGAGGCTGATCTCACTGTCCGCAATTTCCCCAGTTACCACAGCGAGGCCTTTGAGGAGTACATGCGACAATGGGAGCCGGAGTTTTTGCTCATGTCGGATGGGGAGCAGCTGGGCTCCCTCACCCCGCTCCAGACATTCTTCGTAAACAGAGATACTGCAAACAATGAGAGCAGCGGAAGCAAAGAGGAGAACCCGTATCGTCTGAAGCAAGCATACCGTAGTCTCGTGGGGGATGAGGCGCTTGGCGAAAAGGCAGCACTGTACTACCGATGCATGCTGCTCTGGGCAGCTGCGCGGAGACTGAAGGTGGCCTATTCCTCACGCATAATCTACAAGGAAAACGCGATGATTGTCTTTACAGTCCGCGTCGATGGTCTGGGCTTCGAGCGTGCGGTGTCAATTGAGAGTGAGGTGCAGACACTTGTGCAATCGTTGGAGCAGGAGGTGCAGCTGCCCACCATCACCTCCGCATCACTGGATCTTTTGGGTGAGAAGATATCGTACCGCGAGAAGCTTGTGTCCGCTGCAGTGCACGCCTACCTTAACGCCGTGGAGCGGACTGAGCAGGAGAAGCAGTTGTGTCAAGCTCTTGCCTTCACTGCGTACGTGACTGGGCTGTTGAGCAGTGAAATGCGTGCGCAGAGGGTGCAGCCTAACAGTGTGGTGGCGACCTTCCTTTCGGATATCGCACCATACCTGCTCGTTGTGCTGCGTCATGCCGGATGTGCTAATGGCCGCGGGCAGGAGTTTGATATCATCGACGGTCACCTCTTCTGTGCCATTGCACGGCAGCTGCGCACGACAGCAATACGTGATCTGGTCGACGAGGACGGTATGGAGGACATCGCGTGCACTTGGGAGGTTATTGCAGATGACGACACCGTCTGCATCACCGACGCACCGCTTGCGGACCTCCCTGTGATCGCTGTTCCTGCAAAAGTTGAGCTACAGCCGTACCCGTTGCTCACGCACGAGTTAGTAGAGCGACTCGCCAAGTCCTTTGGTGTGACGTCACACCGCGCGGAGCAGCCGTATCCAAGCGGCTTCGGCGCCGCCAACGAACTTGCTGGCTGGGATATCACGACCCCATTCGACAAACTTAATGACGTGGTTGATGCGGAGGGAGATGCTCTAGCAAAAAGTGTTATGACAGAGAAGGAAGCCAAGAATATGCAGGAATATAACACGAAATTTGTGCGCAACGCGTTTCAGCAGGCACAGTCGATGGGAATCAGTGGTTTTGCAGCGCATGAACTGGCCATGGTCTGCTCCGACAACGACTCGGACGACGAGGGCAAAAGCGCGGCAGCAAAAAAGAAGGTGAACAAGGAGCATGCAGGGCAACGCAACAAGAAAACCCTTAGTAGAGAAGATAAGATCCGAGAGCGTGGTAACGTGAGCGCCGCCACCAACGCCGTGACACAGTGGTGCAAACACTTGGATCAACTGCTGCGTACTCTTGACGTCTCACACGGTCGAGCTACCAACAAGGACCGTGATGAGGCCATCGCCACACTTTCAACCGCCCTTAAACGGCTTGCTCAGGCGAAACTTGGAAAGAGCTTTGATCTTGGCTACACACTCGATGAGAACACCGGCAACACCAACAATGACACCAATGCTACTCCCCTAAAACTCACCATGTGGCGCCTACTTGTTTCCTCTAGCGGGCTGCGCGAGGTGGAGTTTGCGCTAGCTCTCGAGGATCCTGCTATGAAGGACCGCAAAGGCAACACCAAGAAGAAAGATGCGAAGTCAGATGCCAACATTCTGCACGGCTTTACCGTCATTGACCGTCTAGTTCCAGAGGGACTTGACAAGCAAGCGGAGTGGGGACAACTTGAGCCGCTGCGCAAGGCTAAGCCAGACCTCTCGAGCGCAGAGGTGACGTCCTACCTGCGTTGGGTGTATCTTTCCTACGTGGAGCTACACATCCAGATGAAGCTCAAGTGCCGTGTGGTGAAGCTGCACCTTGACAACTGGCGTGCGGAGCGAGAGCGCGCCCGCCTTGCGCAGGAGTCACCGAACATTTCCCTCAGTGTGCCGCTTTTCCTCTATTGTCATCACGCTGTGCTGTCTGTGATACGCGATGAGGGTATGATGATATCCCCCGAGGACCTCGATACGGTACGCTCCGCCCTTAGGCACTTTGATTTCATGGAGGATTATTACAACAAGCTTGACCGGGCCATCACACGCTGGCAGAACAAGGCGCCAGGGACAATTCCTTCCAGCCTGATTCCTCGTACCCGTCAACTACACGAGACACCTGAAATGCTGCAGCTACTGCACATGGGGCATCTTCTTGAACGTCCTTTTATGAGGAAGCGTGACTACCGCGTCGCGTTTAACCCGGACAGTTGGCAACGGGAACTACTTGATATAGTGGACAACCGTGGCAGCGCCGTGGTGTGCGCGCCCACTTCGGCTGGCAAGACGTTCATTTCATACTACTGTATGTACAACGCCCTGCGGCGGTCGAACAAGCGCGTTGTGGTCTATCTTGCTCCAGCACGTGCGCTGATCAACCAAGCTGTTGCGGATGTTTGCGCCCGCTATGGATCAAAGAAGTACAAGAATCCAGGCAGATACATTTATGGTGTATTGGGCGGTGCCGACTACCACCAGTTTCACGACTCCTGCCAGGTGCTTCTCACTGTTCCCGAGACGTTTGAAACCATGCTTCTCTCACCCAAGTGCGCGGAATGGGTGGAGCTGATTGACTATGTTATTCTGGATGAAATTCACTCTATGGAGAGTAATGGCAATGGTGACGTGTGGGAGCGCATTCTAGCTCTCCTTCCGTGTCCATTTGTGGCACTTTCTGCCACATTGGGAGAGACTCAACAGTTGTGTGGGTGGCTAAACCGTGTACAGGGTCGTCTGAAGGAACAGACGGAAGATCCATCGGGTAAGACGCGGGACTATGAGGTACATGTTTTGCCGTCAGAAGGGAAATCAATTCAGCGCTGGAATGACATCAAGAAATACATTTATCTCCCACCACCCGGGGTGCAGCAGTCGTTAAAGAAGCTTACTGCAACTTACGAGCATTGCTACATACGTGACCTGCACCCGCTTTCCATCCTCACAACAGACCAGCTGCTTCGTGGATTCCCACCTGATATATCTCTTGTGCCGAGTGAAGTTGTATCCCTCTTTGAAAAGATGCAATCGACATTCAACGAAGTGGTGTGGCCCAAATGGTCTTTGGTGCCGCTGGTGCAAAAACTGCGAGCACAGTTGGGAATGCTTGAACCTTCAAAGTACTTTGAGACAGAGACCTACATCACACAGGAGCGGGCGCGAATGTATGAGGCGGATGTGAAGAATGCCTTTGCATACTGGGTCGTTTTGAGCTATGAAAGCAACGAACATCTGGATGACCTTTCTGATGCGGAGTTAGCGGACTTTAACGCAGTTATGAAGAAGGCTACGGACGGCATTCTGAGTGCTTTTGCACAGCAGTTGAACGAAGATGAGGCGACACTTGAGCAGTATGCAGCGGAGAAAATAAATAAAAAGAGGCTGGCACTTCAGGGACAAGAAGAGGAACAGAAGGAGCGGCAAGAAGAGCAAACTCGAAATACGGGAGTAGAGCAAGAAGACGAGTTGGGTGAATCGCAAGAGGCGGTACCCTTACCAGGATCGCGACAATACATCCGTGAGCAGATCTTGAACGTTTTGCGGGAACTCATCTCACGCGACATGGGACCAACGATTGTATTTAGTTTCGAATCAGAAGATTGTGGGGACCTTGTTAAGTATGTGGTGGAGCAGCTTGAAAAGGCTGAGGCGCGCTACCGTACAACTGAGGAATTTGCTGCGTACAAGGCTGAAAAGGAGCGTGCTGCGGCGGCACATGCGGCACGGCAAAAACAGCGAGAGTCGACACTCAAACAAAAGCGATTGACGACCAGTGATGAGGGTGATGTGGAGGTGGCTGAACGCGACTTGAGTGATGGAGGTGAGGGAGATGATGAGGTGTTTGCCGTCCCCGACATTCTGCCGGAGTTTACTTTCATTGGTGACAAGTGCACTGTGGAGCCTAACGTTGTTGCATCACTTTTGGATGACTGTGATAAGGAAGGCGAGGACTTGCTGCTGCGTGCCCTCAGGCGTGGTATTGGCATGCATCACGCCGGCGTAAAAGGCAAACTCCGTGGGCATGTGGAGCGGCTTTTCCGCGGACGGCATTGTGGTGTAATTTTCTCCACTGAAACACTGGCGCTCGGCATTCACAGCCCCTGCCGCTCTGTTGTACTAGCAGGTGACCATATTCTTCTTAACCCTACACAATTCCGTCAGATGATGGGACGTGCGGGTCGTCGTGGACTCGACTATTTGGGGCACTTGGTTTTCGTCGGTATCACAATGCGGCGTATCAAGCGTTTAATGACGAGCAGTATGACAGTAATCAAGGGAAATGTGCAAATGGATCCCATTTCGCAACTGCGCCTGTTTCAGCTTTACGACTTTAACTCGCTTCGCCGCCTGAAGAATGAAGTGGGTTGGAAGAAGTATGTGGCCAAACTGGCTGAGCGTCTGTATGTCAATCCATTATTCTTCCAAGGACGCGCATCGGTTACAGGAGGCAATATGGAAGGATTTACTGTGGAGTTCCTGCAGATGTTGATTGGTTTCTTCCAGCAAGAGGGACTACACTTTAACGAGCATACTTCGTCGCTCGGTTCATTGCTGGTGGAAGCCATGTACATTTTCCGTGAGGCTCATGTGGGCAATGAAGGTTTTGCATTCATTCGGATGCTTACATCTGGTGTATTTGAAAAGGCCCAGTACTCATCTGCGCACGAGAAGAATCTAAACAGTGGTATTATGGACGAGGCTGTTGCGGAGTTGCTCGCATATCTCTTCTCCACCCACCAAACGTGTGGTGTGCCACTGGAAATACACCGCTCTGCCCTCCTTGACCCTGCGGTGAGTACGTTGTGGGAAGGCAAGACAACTTCCACACAACATCGTGTTGTTCTAGCTCCCATTGATGTCTGTTCGCCATTTGCGCCGGCTCTTGACAACGGCGACTTTTTCGCACTGCTTTCCGCTTTTTACAACTACTTGGCCTCTAATTTGGAGCCTCAGGCGGCTGACGCCTTTCGGCTTCCTTGCATGAATGGCGGCAACAAAAAACAACGCATTTTTGGTGACGGTTCCGCTGAGCTCCCTCTAATGGACAGGCTTAATGAAACGTCTGTGCCATTTAAGGCCCGTTCACCGTTTGTGGCAGTTAGTGGGTGCGGGGATTTCTTCACTTCTGTCGACGACATTGCGTTTACTCTTCGCGATGGCCTTTACTGCGATCGGCGCATGCTTCCCATACTCGATATTGTCGATGGGTGGCGGCATGATGGGGCTCAGATTCTCATCAATGCTTGCCTTACGGATTTTCTTCGTGCCAAGGCCCAGATTGACACAACACGAAAGAACTACCGCTTCACTCTTCTGGAAGAGCTTAACGGACTCTCCCAATCCCGCTCTTACGCAGTGCTAAACAGGGTGGAAAAAATCTTGTCGAATCTTGGGGGATTCGTGCGAAGGTCAAAGCTGCCGCGTGCTGGCGTGCTGACGGCTATTATGCCAGAAGCCTCCGAAGAGGAAACTTGCTTTATGGCAGGGGCCCCGCGTCTGCTGGAGGTGGCGGAACGCCTCAATTCTCTACAACCGCAAATTCAAAAGCGTTTTGCCGAGGAATTGTTCGCGGCAAAGAGGGCCAGATGGATAAGCGAAGCTGCAGCCCGACGAAGCGAGCAACAGCAGCAACATCAACACTAGGACATGGTATTAATTCTAACCCAGAAAAAACTTGCGCGGCGGACGGCTGCCTTAGATGCTTAATGTAGTAAATGGCGGTGGTGGGGGAGGGGCGTTTGAGGGCAATAGCCGCGGTACTAAAAATTGAGCAAACGAAGCCTCCATGCACACATGCGCGATATATAAAAATATATATATACATTTATATCTTATGTTTTTTTTTCTAAAAAAAAAAAAAAAAAGAAGGGGCGCATGCGTGCGATGAGGGTTTGGCCGGTTCATCGGGATGACGCGATTTAACGGCGACACGGCGCCCAAAAAGTTCTACTGGCGAACCGCTTTTGTTTGCAGGAATCTTGCCCGTAAAAAGCTTTTTCCTCTCCCTTTCTGTTTTTTTTTTTTT